TTTCCTTAGAATTTCCTCTTGCCCATGGTGTGACACTTATGACGAAGAGTTTTTGGCGGAAGCTGAAGCCATGAGTTTCTCAGAATCCGCTTTTGATGACTATTAGGTTTTGTTTGTTGAAACAGTTGTTTTGTTTTGGGGAATGTAACCGGTATGGGTACTCGGTTATTGGTTTTGTTTTACGTTTTGTTTTAAGTATCGCTTTGATACTTGGTTTATTTTAAGTATCGCTTTGATACTTGGTTTGTTTTAAGTATCGTTTGATACTTGGTTTTGTTTTATGTTTTGTTTTAAGTATCGCTTTGATACTTGGTTTTACTTTATGTTTTGTTTTAAGTATCACTTTGATACTTAAGGAGTTTTACCAAAGTGTATCGATTGATACCTTTGATTAGTTTCGTTCATGCTAGACATGAACAGATTTGTGTATTTAAAGACTGCCTGTTTCTACGATAGAAAAGGCAGACTTCGACAGATAGTATTTCAATCTACTTGGTTGAACGGTTACTTCTTTGTTCCCCAGTACGTCCTCAAAGCCTCCTTTAGTTCTCAGTTCTCGCCTCTTCTCTGGAAGAGCAGGCCACCTGCCAACTATCGTATCTGTTACCGATAACGTGATTAGCACACTGTGAACACGTTACAAACGTATGGAGAGAGCTGTATCATTCTCTTTGGCATTGATAGCTGCCTGAAGGCGATACTTCAGGTCAGGCTTGTTGTTTGGCATTGGTGTTATGAAACCTTTTTGTGAAATTCGATGTTGAAAGTGGTTGGTAGTATAGTATGTTAAGATTCACAGAGTCTAAAGTGAAAAAGATACCAAATCTTTAAAACTCTTGCTCAGCCTCAGATCTTACCCTACCCTTTTATAAATTATAGGCCTCAGGGTCTATCATCTATATTATAACCTGGAGAAATATTGGATATTTTGCAGCAGCTATTCTTTTTCTTTATCACAATTTGTTATAAAATTATAATATCTCACTTGCTCTATTTATAGATAATACAATGAAGCAAATACTTTAATATTTAGAAGGCTAGTTTGATACCCTGAAGGCAATCTGGAAATTAAATTAGAAGAAGATCTGATCATTTTTACATACGCAAATCAAATATTTGTCAAAAGAAACTGTCATGATAGTTTGACCCATTACTGGGGGGTGACCCATTACTGGGTGAAATACGTTATGTTTCAAGTTTAGGACCGCTAATGCTCACCATTTTAGTTCTCTTGGGTCTCCGGACTCCAGCGATCCGTTTATGAAAAAAGAAAAAAAAAAGATGGAAATTTTTTAAGTTTTATTGGTGACTAGAGAAGCCAAAGGCAGGGCAGAGAACACTAGCAAGGCATTATTATTGCCCCAAACAAGTTGAAAAATCATTACTCTAGTATACGTACAAAAATGTTATTTATTTTTTAAAATTACATTTTAAACCCGTTCAGAAAATAGTTTCTCATGCTTAATCCAGAGAGCTAAAAGTGTAGGTAAACACAACCATTGCGGCTGGCGTCGGATCCAAAAGTGTCACATTGTTGGTGTGAGGCGTGCGTCTACGTCTACTGGGTAGTCTTCTGGAACACATGCATATGTGTTTCCATTATGAGTAAAGTATTGCTTGGGATATAGGAAGTTGTCATGGTATCGTGGGAGACCTCTTGTGTGAGGTGGTCAGCGGGGTGTTCTTCCCGTCGGGATACAGTACAAAAGTCGCCGGGCTCAAATACTTTATGGAGACCCACTCCACCACCTCATATCGAGACCAAGTCCTCCCGTCGTATCATAATTGATAGTGCCGCCATCCACAAGTCTGAAAGTATCATACTCCACCAAATCTCGATCGGTTTCATAGGATATTTCGGGGATCTGATAACACATGTCTTCCAGTCAGTACTTTGATGTTTTAGTCATGCGTGCGCACTTCAAAGCTTAACCTGAATCTACCACACCTAGCGAGAGCATCTGCACCAGGATAATATAATCAGATCGAAGACGACCACTTAAAAAAAATGCTCGCTAGCAGTATCACGTCTCAAAGATCACCACACCATGGCTAAAATTGGCCTCCGCACATCCAGTTTTGGCGAAAAAAAAAGGAAGAATTTATGTCCGCTAAAGTAAAAGTGATCTACCCCACATCCCACACTCTCTTTATGCGTCACCCACAACCCCTTTAAAACCTTTTATGTACTGCGATCCTGGACGGCGGGCTATCGTCAAAGAACAACCTCCCCCCGACATACCCTTGCCATTCGCAATGATCCGCAATCCAAAACCCTGCCCAGGCAGCAGTCCGACAATAGACCCATCTCATCACCTCCCCGCACATACTCTCGGCAGCTTCCTCGTAAGCAAGGAGTTGGGTGCACCTGCTCCCGAAACGGTTCTCCTGGCGACACATTGCCTCACCGTACCTGTCCCTAAGGTTAGTCGCGAGCTGACGGACGTCATCGACACGAGGGGAGCCGGCGGTTGTGTCGCAGATGTAGGAAGTTTGCGCGGTGACGTTGTGTGGCGCGAGCTCGGGCATGAAGGAGAAGTCAACGGGTTTGGGGGTGGGATCGTTGATGATGGCCAGGGCCGCGATGGCTTCTGGGGTATCCCAGTTGGGTTCCGGGGGTGGGATGGTGAGGACAAGTCGGTTGAGCGCGAGGATGAGGAAGGCAATCTTTGTGGCGAACATTTTGTTTGTGTTTTGTGGATGCTTTTCAGGTAGGGAATGATAGTTGCGGCAGTGGTGGTGGTAGATGTTGGTCGCGAGTGGTTAGAGTAGGATTCGGAGAGGACCCTCCCGCCAATTTGTAGGCGTTCGTAGGCGTTAAGCCCTAGAGGAATTGTATGATATCGGACATTGTATGATCTGATATGATATTCCTTAGACTGTTGTATGATAACATCAACTGTGGGCTTACATAGGGCTTTGGGATCACAAGATATCATTCGACGAAATTCTATATTCACCTCTCCCAAAATTTCCCTCACCAACATAACCGATGTCATAATATATTCATACGTCAGATTCCGTAAGAATTCTTAATTTTTCAAGGGACCTATTAACTCCACCTATGATAGCAAATTAAGCAGGCATTCCAACCCTCATCACCACATACTTTTATCCACAGTTTACCTCAAAATTCACTAAACATGTCCGCTCCGATCCATGACTTGCGAAATACCGCACCCCATCTTAGGCCACCTAGGCCCGAAAACACTGTACCTGCAGGGCATGAGATTGCAAGTTCAATCCTAAAGTAAAGTCTTCACTCTAAGCACCCCCATTATATCGAACCTAACATCAACAGAGCAGGCACCCATCCGGAATACCGAACCCCACCCCCCGTCCATCCAATACACAGAAAACCAATTCCACACCATAGGATTTGTAAATATTCTCTTCCCACACAAATTCGAAAGCTCAGTCTACTTTCGGATATTTTTCCAGAGGAAAACTCTACACAATCTCGGTTCGAATCGCAGACCACGACATAGAAGACTTGAGGAATTGGAAGGAGCATTGCTTGTACAGAGATAACTCAATTTGTTGAGTTAACATGGTACTGCTATCATATTACTTCCGCACCATCCCGGCAGTAATACGTGAGTGGTACTACAGGGGATGGTGAAATATGAGAAGGCGCTGAGCCCGTTTGTGAAAGTATTGTGCAGTATGGAACAAGATCCCAAACACTTTAGAAAAATCTTGAGGAGAGGCAGTAAGGTATTAAAGAATCCGGGGAACCCGCGGGGGTCCGGGAGACACCACAATTAAGGCCGATTACGGACACCTAACACGTAGGCACTAGAGAAAAACTCTCTACAGGATCTCCCAAGCTAGCTAGCTTGATAATTGGACGCGCCTCCAACAATAACCCCAGTTGGTATCGCCACCAAATACCGTCTAAACATACCGCATTTGGAAGATCTGTGCATCCTGACAAAATCCTTACTTGTACCAGTACAATTGCCAACAAAATCGTCATCTTCACATGCGATCGAGAGCTGCTAATAATATTCGCGTGGTAGGGTCCGCGAAAAATAGTAGGGAAAACTTACCTTTCACAGACACGGACGGTTAGACGATTGTATCACTGCCATTAGTAACCTTCTTGGCTTGTTCAAGAGGGAGGAGTACGGGACAACATAATGAAGTTAGAGAAGTGAGTTGAAACAGACACCCCCCCCCCTTCACAAAGGCCACACAGTAGTCGGGGTTTGTGTTCCGGGTTGTTCACTCGATTTTATGTGACTTTCAACTAGTTGGTGCTGCGATGAAATATTTGTCGGCCTGCGAGGAGAATTATGTCAGGCCTTCTCTACCGGGTCAGGTATGATGTCACGGGATACGGCACGGCATTCCACTCGCTCAAAATCCGATAGTCCCATCACGGGGCGGCTGAAAACACACCCCGCAACTGAGGCCTAACCTGTAGAGTAGGAGGCTGCTCGTGAGGCTCCACCAGCAATGTGTATCAGATCTCATGGATGGTGATAACGTAGAACGGATTATATAAGGTTTGGTATAATTCCCATGATCAGTTGGCTCGTTTGTCGTATGCGGCACAGTATATATGGGGATGCAACCGGGGTACATCAACAGCCGGGCAGTGGTGGAAAGTACCTCATTCAACTGGGAGAGAACCTTATAGCAAGGAATACGCGTACCAGCACGCAAGCGCATATTCAGTTACTCAGTCTCATATGCCGATATTCCCCCTCACTCCTCCAATTGCGCTCACTTTCTCCCCAATATCACCAAAACGGCAAAACCTAAGTTCACGTTTAAAGCCACATAACTCACCTCTCAACCGAGTGAAAGTGTGTATTCCGTACTCCTGATCAGTTTTTGCCGCAACGCATCATAAGTGATATACAGCTCCGCATCTAATGCACGCTAACCGGTATCTGCAAACAAGCAATAATCAACCAGCCCGCCCCTAATCAAACAAACAAGCAAACAAAGACGCACACGCTCCTCTTTATTCCCTATTACAACCTGTAGCCTCACCCCCTAACCGCCATCTCCGAAGCCTTGAGGGAGACAACTACCACGAAGCAGATAATCGGGCTGATGGCGTATGACATCTAAGGGAATTAGCCCCCGTATTTAGAAGACGAGATATGGTAGAAAAAACCTACAGTCAGAAACCTAGCAACTGCCATTTTATCCTTCGGCGAATTCCCATTCATTTCCACTAGTGAACTCATCATCATAGCGGAAGGTCCAACGGGCATAAGCATCATGCTAAACCAGAGCACCGGGTCCTCGCCGAGCAAGTTATTCCTTGCGAGGCAGTACACCGCCGGTATGGCAACGCTGCCAGTACTCCCCATTAATCCCTCCACCTTATAGGCAAACAATTGAGGAAGAATCAAACTCACGCAGGGCAAAACAAAAACCTAACCCCCCAGACAAATGCAACCCCACGCTTGGGAATCTCACCAATTTCCTGCTCAGGATCAAGACTATCACATAACCGACTGCCAACGACAAACATCTGTAGCGCAGTGAACAGGTCTCCAATATTCGAGATAGAACTGGTCAGCCACGCACGGCACACTCCACCGTCCTCCATGTCTGCGAAAAAGGATTTGTGTAATGATGGAACCAACCCGATGAATGCGGCTACAATCGCGCCGACCAAGGGCGGGTTAACCATATCCCCGGCAAACGAGAGCGTGCTCTGGGCTCGTGTTGGGAGCTTGGTGAACTGCCTGTGGGCTGAGGACTGCACGCTGTGTACTCTGATCCTGACCAGAGCCGGCAACAACGAAGCGTTCTCATCACTATCCTGATCGCGTTGAGCTTCGGCATCGCGGCCGTTGGCGCTCTCGGACTCATTCTTGTCCATCAACTTTGGTCCAAGGGCGAACATGAGTGTGTTTGAAACCATAGAGTTGATAAGGAAGTAACTTTTCGCGCGTTCCACGGCATCCCGCTGGCCTCCGCCTGAAATACCCTTGAGAATCCCCGTCGCGGCGAGGGATTGCATGAGTAGGAGCGGTAGGGAAGTAGTATTATTGAAGGCAACGGCAGGAACTATCCAGTCCGGCAAATTCATAACTTTCTTTCCGAGGGCGCCAAGAGCTATGGAGGTGAATGTGTACACTATGCCCCAGACTATAAACTTGCCAATTAGTATCAGCTAACAACCTACGGAGGTATTGCGGGGTGCCGGATTCAGGGAAGGAAGGGAAGGAAGGGCAGGGCATCGTACTGAAAACCGGTGCGTAGTTCCCCACGCCCTCCAGCGTCAATTGCCGTCCAATGCTCGTTATCAGCAACGCTGGTAGGAACACGTCGACGCAGAGGCGAGATACATCTCCCACACTTCGGGGATGCACAAGCCTCAGCTTCGCCGAGAGGACTCCATACCCTAGGGTTAGCAGGACAGACAGCGAGGCTTGCAAGGCTCCGAGAAAAGACTGTTTCAGGGATGCTCCGGAATCCGACATATCTCGAATCAATAGACAGTCTCTTTGCAGTCTTGCTTGCGTGCGTGTTTTCTCGCTTGGTCGAGTGATTTTTCCGGATGATGTGTGATGTACTCTTCGGCCTGAGTTGGTGGTGGGGATTGGTTTCTTCCCCTTTTGCTGATGGGGAGGGGTGGCGTGGGAAGGACCTGGTGTTCCAGTTCTCGCTGGTATGACGTCATGGTGAATTAGAACGGGAAGACTGAGCTTCTCCCCCTGGATTTTTTTCTGCCTTAGCTGGTGCGCCGGGGTTTCGGTACGATCTTGGTGCAGCTTGGCATTAAAATTTGCTAAACCTTGTAGAACCATATAGCCATAAGGAGTTCGTCCCGACAAGAGAAGAGCTAAGTCTACCGATATATCCCAAGAGAGAAATGTCAGGAGTAGTGGGGACGGGCAATGATACTTTGAATATCATATAGTTTTATTATCCGGAGTGTACCGACAGGGTGGTTAGCGGAAACCTATCTGTCCGCTCAGTCACCACCACGGGGGGTTAAAGACCTTTCGGAACTTGTCCTAGCACAGAAGAGACTCTGACCGGAGCAAACCTGGCCGAACTCTACAGTGCTAGTACAGGTGCTGTCGGACTTGTGGATCGCTATCGATTATGATACTAAATATCACGAATTATCCCAACCAAACACATTTATTACGACTGGAGGACGCTATCTCGATATGAGGGGCATAGAGTAGGTCTCCATCGCGTATTTATATCCGCGGTTCATACTTGTACCGCATCCTGTGAAGAACAACGCCCCCCTCACCACGCTGCACAAGAGGCCTCCCATAGTACCGTACTCGACCACCAGTATTGCCGACCCCCTTCAAAGCGGTGGAGGATATCCGCACATAGCCAGTCGAAGAAGGACCTACCTAGCCCTAGTATAGCTAGCAGCTTACGAATCGGTACGATGACCTATTGACGTACTAATTTATTTCATTTAGTACGAACTTCCGTGATTGGTCGCGGTGGGTTTAGCTTAAGGAGAGTGTACGAGTATGATAAGAACAATAGGGGTATTCAAAGTTGAAAAACAAGGAAAAACAGAGTTTACTTTGTTGTCTCAGGTAAGCTTGGCTAGGCCAAAAATGGTTAATGGACGGTTGCATTACCATCCCATGCGAGACGAATTTTTCATGTTAAGACAGCAGAAAAAAGAACCATATCACATGTAAGAAAAGGGTAAACATATAATAGAGGAGTAAAAAGTGATTGATTGAAAAATAAAAAAAGTAAAAAAACAATAACAAGAAAGATGCCTCGGACCTTATACAAAGCTCAACTCACTTGTGAGTTACAAGATTTATGGCTTAATAATGCAATTTCTAGTATTCTTTTTATTTTCAGAAGATTTTCCCAGCCTATGAGAACAACTGATCAGCATGCATCGAGAACCAAGATGTCTAAGTTCCAGAGCTTACCATTGATCCGGAGGAAATATGCTAACCGAAAAAACTGATTTTTTCGATTGTTGGCCTGGGGAGTTTGGGAGAGGAGGAAAAAAACTGGACAGGAATACTAGACACAGACTTGGAGGAGGAAGGGATGGGAGAGGAGATTATGGCTGGAATTGAGTTGCTAGGACTGACTATAACTACAATTCAATATCTCATACCAAGAGTACCGATACCTTGTAGTGAGTATTTGTTCAACAATTATGTAAGTAGAGTCAAAAAATGAGAAAATAAGAGAATAGAGTTTTAATTTAGATAGATATATTCCATGTCAAGTGATTAGGTTATATCATTTTTTTGTATGACTCGAGAGTTATTTAATCAACTTGCCAATTTAATATACCTCGATCCTATCTTTCAAAACAATTCCAACAACTCCCCAGTTTTACACAAATCTAGTTAGTGACTACATAGTATTCGCTAGGCTCCTCTAGTATATCTACGGTTTGTAGGACAGCTCAGTTAGGGATCGGAGAAGGTACGACTCACATGTATATTAATCGCTGTATAACAGTATTGATTTGGATGCTACCCCAATTTGTGCAATAGTTAACTCCAGGAGGCTACAAATATTTTCAGACAAGAGCAGAGATTGAGGAGAGAAGTGGCTTTTCAGGATGTATTGAGTTCTTGGATGGGATAGATATTGTTCTTCAATATGCTCCGTCATATAACTGAAAGTTGTCATGAAAGTAACTTGGCATGAAAGAGGATTTCGCATGACACATGGTTATGAGTCACAGGTATGTTATTTTACACATATGACTCATTCAGGTCATATAATTTGTTATGTGTGGGATGTGTGATGCTTTCGCATATGGCTTAAATATGAGTCATGGGACATGCGCAGGGTGAGTATGCCTTGCGAGTGTGACTTGCGGGTAACCCTTGCGCATATGATTTATGTTTTGCACATGACCTCATTATGAGGTCATGGGTTTCGCGTATATGACTCAGTCGAGTCATATGACTTGTGTATTGTGTTATGATTGGTTTATGAGTTTTTGTACATGACCTTGCTATGAGGTCATGGGTTTCAAGAATGAGATCACTTTGGTCATATGACTAGTTTGTTATGATTTGGTTCTGCACATGTGACCACTTTAGGTCACATGACTATGGGCGGGAAGAATACTGTAGAAGGAGGCTGATGCGGCCAAGCAAGATAGGTTCTTCACGCTTTGTTCTAAGTACTTTTCCTACTTATTACTTTAACAAATACAAAACACCTTTACAATCTTTACTTTTATTGCAACGTTGTAGTTACGCTAAGAAAAGCTCTGCATGAAGACGAGTTAGAGAAAGCTTATAATAGGTGTTTTCGATAGAAGACAAAGGTCTTGTACTGTCGGTAACATAGGCAGAGGCCTAGAGCTATCGTAAGACAAAGAAAGAAGAAGACAGATAAGAGAAGTATCGTTCCCCATCACCAAGAACTAACTGTCCAAAGAAAGATCGTTACATTACAAAGCGTCACCTAGTGCGATGCCAAACGATACAAGACAGCATCTGTCAATCCAGATAGGGAAGGAGATATTGACATCGACGATCAAAACCTTAACCTAGGAGGATTCAGCGATGCCTTAGATGACTTCTCAGCAGAACCCTGGAGAGCAGCAAGCCCAGTAACACCAAAGAAAGGATCACTAGTCGATAGCTCTCCTGCAGGAACTCCACAACCCGAGAGAATGTCAGGATTAGCAGTACCTGGGCCACCGGCCCCAGCCACTCCAGCACCAGGAACTAGCATACTCGGAATGACTGAAAATCAATTTTTGGCATTTGTTGCAGCCACATGAAACACAGGACAAGGAAATGTCCAAAGACTGAAGGCAAAGGAGCCTGACACATATGAAGGAACTGAAAGCAAGCTATGAATATACTTAGCGCAATGCGAAAGATATTTTACTGTTAAGGGATATGGAGATCACCATGATAATATCAAGATTCCATATGTGAAATCTCTACTCAGAGGACTCACGGGACAATGGATCATGCCTTTCCAAGATGGAAGGAAGCAGAGGGAATGGGTTACATATGAAGAGTTCAAGCCGACACTCTACGAACAATTCGGAGATCCCAAGGCCAAACAAACAGCAAGACGAAAGCTGGAAAAACTCCACCAAGGAAACCAAACATTCTCAGCATACTGGAACGAATGCCGACTATTGGAATACGAGGCCCAGTTTGATAATGCTACTCTCTATATCATCCTCCTGAGAAACTGCAGCGAGAGACTCTGAGAGGCATGGGAAATCTCCGACCTGCGCTATACAACAGCAGAACGATTTGCAAGATGGGTGATCGATAAGGAAAGCAAACTAAACATGGTTTGAAGCAACTCGGAAAACACTATAGCACACAGGGTGGTCCAATTATCCAGGAATGTTGACAGGACCTTCAAACCGCAAGCAGTTCGAGGAAAAGGTCAAGCATTACCACCAGGTGAGCCAATGGAGTTAGACAAATCAACAACAAGACCGGCTCTGAACCTGTCTAAGGAAGAATATGCCAGAAGAATGAACGGAAAACTCTGCCAAAGGTGTGGAAAAGCAGGACATCGGATACAAGAATGCAGAAGCCGACCCGACAACGGATACCAAGGAACCAGAGCTGCTGGAATTAATCGTTTCCAAAATCAAAAAAGGAGCAACATTCACGAAATGATCGCACAAGATTTACCGGCAGAAAACGACCAGGGTCTACAGTAGACTGTGGTCTGGGAGACCCAAGATATGGACCAGGAAAACCTATCAAGTTAGTGAACTACTACACGGCACGTCACACGCAAAGAGGAGAAGAAGATGGAGATCATGTGATGATCAAAATGAAGATATACAACGAAGAAAATGAAGAAACAACAATATATGTAATGCGTGACTCCGGGGCTACCGAAGATTTCATCAACAAAGAAATATGTGACAAATACGGCTTCCACACTAAACAAGCGAAGAAAGCAAGACAAGTCTACCTAGTGGATGGAAAGCCAAGCACTATGGTTCCTATAACCCATACAGCGATAGTACCTATGGACATTGACAGGTATAGGAAAACGGCAACCTTTCACGTAGCAGATCTAAAAAACCATGAGATTTTCCGAGGAATGCCAGGGTTAACAAAGCATAATCGGACGATTGATGGGAACCAGAACAAGATGACCTTTACAGGTGAACTGTGTGCGACACAATCTCTCAACAGTTCGCCAGTGGTCTACTCGACACCGATAAGAGAAGTGGAAGAAGAAACTTTGCATGCAAAGTTCACTAAGATGCCGCAAGATAAGAGAGTCCGGATACAAAGACTAGACCAAGAGGCAAGAATGCCTACTAAGGGTTCCAAAGGGGCAGCAGGACATAACCTATATGTTAATGAAGGAATGAAGATACCTGCCAATGGGCGGGCAACGATAGTGACGGGAATAGCCATTGGACTTCCAGAAGGCACGTATGGACGAATAGCCCCCCGCAGTGGTCTCGCGGTCAAACATCGGCTCATGACCATAGCAGGGGTGATCGATGTCGATTATACAGGTGAAATCAAAGTGGGCCTGGTCAACCTGGCTGAAGAGGACTACCAAGTCCTGAAAGGCGATCGAATCGC